AAAAAAAAAACAAAAAAAAAAACAAAATGCACTGGACTGCATCTAGTGTGAACTAGCCCTTAGGGCCGGTTCACACTATAGTAATGCAGTTCAGATGTGTTCCGGATGACTTTTTGGCGCATTCCAGTTAATTTTTTCCCCCTCTCTTTCATGCCTCATGATAGAGCTTTCTTTCAGTGGTATTTGATCACCTCTGCGTTTTTTGTTTTTTTTTTTTCCGCTATAAACAAAAAAAAAAAAAAAAAACAATATTTTTTTACTTTTAGCTATAAAACATCCAGTAAAAATATTTTTAAAAGATTGAATTTCATCATAAATTTAGGGTAAAATGTATTCTGCTACATAACTTTACTAAAAAAAAAAAAAAAAATCCCATTACGTGTAAATTAATTGGTTTACGTGAAAGTTTTAGTGTCTACAAATGGCGGTGTAGATACTGGAATTTTTTTATATTTTTTATATACTAGTAATGGCGGCGATCAGCAACTTATTGCGGAACTGCGGCAGGCATTCTGACACTGGGAGGGAACTGGCTGTCCTACCATCCCCAGTGACACTAATACATTGATCAGTACTAATAAAACGCACTGACACTGTACTAATGACACTGGGGCAGGAAGGGTTTATAATCTGGGGCAATCAAAGGGTTAACTGTGTGTTGTGTTTTACACTGTGCAAGCATGCTGCTTTGTATTGCTCTGCTATGCAGAGCAATACACAGCAGCATGTTGGTGCTGACAGGGGAGAGATCTGTATTGTTTACATACAGACCTCTCCTCTGTCACTGTTCCTCGGCAATCGCTGGGTGCCGTGGCGAAGAATTTCCTGCCGGGACCCGGTGAGCGACAGCTGAAGCCACCAATGGTGCATGCCCCCTACCTGGAAATACAAAATCATGTATATATACGATTTTGCGCGCAGCCCTGCCGCCCTGTAGCAGTAGTTCTGCTATAGCAGCGGTTCTCAACCTGGGGGTCGCGACCCCTTTGGGGGTCGAACGACGCTTCCACAGGGGTCGCCTAAGACCATCGGAAAACACATATTTCCGATGGTCTTAGGAACCGAGACACCGCTCCTCGCCGCCGCCCAGTCTCCAGGTGTGGGCGGGATGACATGCCCGCCCCTGTCATCTGGACACACCTCGAGATCAATCCTCGCCTGTGATTGGCCGCCGGCACTGTAGCTCAGGAGAGGCACACAGGCGGCCAATCACTGGCAAGGAGGTGGAGCTTGGAGAGGAGGAGCCGAGCGGCACCCCGAAGATCGAGCGAGTGAAGGAGGAGAGCGGCCGGAGAAGGAAGACAGCTGACAGGTAAATGTCGGTACCATGGGAGAGGGAGCGAGCGAGCGAGCCCAGGCTGGAGCAGGGGTCTGCAAGGTAAGTATCAATTGGTGTCAGTGGGAATAGTGCCCCATCATTGGTGTCACTAATACCAATAATAAGGCACTATTCCTCCCACTGACACCAACGATGGGGCACTATTCCTCCCCCAAATGACACCAACGATGGGGCACTATTCCTCCCCCACTGACACCAAGGATGGGGCACGATTCCTCCCCCCACTGACACCAAGGATGGGGCACGATTCCTCCCCCCACTGACACCAAGGATGGGCACGATTCCTCCCCCCACTGACACCAAGGATGGGGCACGATTCCTCCCCCCACTGACACCAACGATGGGGCACGATTCCTCCCCCCACTGACACCAACGATGGGGCACTATTCCTCCCCCCACTGACACCAACGATGGGGCACTATTCCTCCCCCCACTGACACCAAGGATGGGGCACTATTCCTCCCCCCACTGACACCAAGGATGGGCACTATTCCTCCCCCCACTGACACCAAGAGGGGGGATGGGGCACTATTCCTCCCCCCCACTGACACCAAGGATGGGGCACTATTCCTCCCCCCACTGACACCAAGGATGGGGCACTATTCCTCCCCCCACTGACACCAAGGATGGGGCACTATTCCTCCCCCCACTGACACCAAGGATGGGGCACTATTCCTCCCCCACTGACACCAAGGATGGGGCACTATTCCTCCCCCCACTGACACCAAGGATGGGGCACTATTCCTCCCCCCACTGACACCAAGGATGGGGCACTATTCCTCCCCCCACTGACACCAAGGATGGGGCACTATTCCTCCCCCCACTGACACCTATGATGGGGCACTATTCCTCCCCCCACTGACACCAATGATGGGGCACTATTCCTCCCCCCACTGATACCAATGATGGGGCACTATTCCTCCCCCCACTGACACCTATGATGGGGCACTATTCCTCCTCCCACTGACACCTATGATGGGGCACTATTCCTCCCACTGACACCTATGATGGGGCACTATTCCTCCCACTGATACCAATGATGGAGCACTATTCCTTCCACTGACACCAATGATGAGGCACTATTCCTCCCACTGACACCAATGATGAGGCACTATTCTCCCACTGATACCAATGATGGGGCACTATTCCCTCCCACGGACACCAATGATGGGGCACTATTCCTCCCACCGACACCAATGATGGAGCACTATTCCTCCCACCGACACCAATGATGGGACACTATTCCTCCCACTGACACCGATGATGGGGCACTATTCCTCCCACTGACACCGATGATGGGGCACTATTCCTCCCACTGACACCGATGATGGGCTCTATTCCTCCCACTGACACCAATGACGGGGCTCTATTCCTCCCACTGACACCAATGACGGGGCACTATTCCTCCCACTGACACCAATGACGGGGGCACTATTCCTCCCACTGACACCAATGACGGGGCACTATTCCTCCCACTGATACCAATGACGGGGCACTATTCCTCCCACTGATACCAATGATGGGGCACTATTCCTCCCACTGATACCAATGATGGGAGCACTATTCCTTTCACTGACACCAATGATGAGGCACTATTTCCTCCCACTGACACCAATGATGGAGCACTATTCCTTTCACTGACACCAATGATGAGGCACTATTCCTCCCACTGACACCAATGATGGAGCACTATTCCTTTCACTGACACCAATGATGAGGCACTATTCCTCCTACTGATACCAATGATGAGGCACTATTCCTCCCACTGATACCAATGATGAGGCACTATTCCTCCCACTGACACCAATGATGGGGCACTATTCCTCCCACTGATACCAATGATGGGACACTATTCCTCCCACTGACACCAATGATGGGGCACTATTCCTCCCACTGACACCAATGATGGGGCTCTATTCCTCCCACTGACACCAATGACGGGGCACTATTCCTCCCACTGGCACCAATGATGGGGCACTATTCCTCCCACTGACACCAATGACGGGGCTCTATTCCTCCCACTGACACCAATGACGGAGGCACTATTCCTCCCACTGACACCAATGACGGGGCACTATTCCTCCACTGACACCAATGACGGGGCACTATTCCTCCCACTGATACCAATGACGAGGCACTATTCCTCCCACTGACACCAATGACGGGGCACTATTCCTCCCACTGACACCAATGACCGGGCACTATTCCTCCCACTGACACCAATGACGGGGCACTATTCCTCCCACTGACACCAATGACGGGGCACTATTCCTCCCACTGATACCAATGACGGGGCACTATTCCTCCCACTGACACCAATGACGGGGCACTATTCCACTATTCCCCCCTGATACCAATGACGAGGCACTATTCCTCCCACTGACACCAATGATGGGGCACTATTCCTCCCACTGACACCAATGACGGGGCACTATTCCTCCTACTGCAAAATTACAGTTATGAAGTAGCAACGAAAATAATTTTATGGTTGGGGGTCACCACAACATGAGGAAAACTGTATTAAGGGGTCGCGGCTTTAGAAAGGTTGAGAACCACTGTGCTATAGGGTGGTAGGGAAGCAGTTAATGCAAGCAGTGCATGCACCTGAATAGGACTTTGTATCAGCTTCTTGCAGTCTGTGTACAGCCAGCCCCCCCCCCCCCCAACCAAGATCCAACAAGCCACCCCTCCGGCCAAGATCCAACAACCCCCACCCCCAACCAAGATCCAACCCCCCGCAACCATCAAACCCCCCCCCCCCAACCATGACCCAACAAACTACCCCCCCAAACCAGCCATAATCCAACAAGCCATCCCCCAGCAAACCATAACCCAACCACGCCCCCTCCAGCCAACCACATGATCCAACCAGCCACCCCACCAATTATAATCCAACCAGCTCCCCCCCATCCGTGCTCCAACCATGATCAAAGCAACCACTCTGCGCGCCCCCCCAATCATGATCCAATCAACAACACCCACCCAACTATAATCTAAACAACCCCCAACCTAACCACTCACCTCCCCCCCCTACCATGATCCAATCATCCCCCCCCAACAAAATCCAAGAACCCCTCACCCACACACCAATTGTGATCCTAACCCCCCCCCCCCCCCCAATGATTCAACCTCCCCCTGTCCATTCCCCGACCTCGACCCTCCTCCAGGTACCACTTGGCTGACTTGCAGACACTTTGCGGTCTGTTAGTGAACCTGCTGGCTGCACCGTGTGCCTGCCGTGCTCTGGTAACGGGGGAAGGCGGAGGATGACACATGGGGACATGGCCGCTCCTCTCCCACCTGTACAGTCCGGGACGATCCCACGCCGACCAGATGTCACCAGCGCCAAACACTGTCCGGATCGGGGCAGATCAGTGCGCGTGCGCGGGGGGTGACACGAGCATGTGCGGAAGAGCTGAGCCACGCGTCCAAATGCGGCGCACTGAGCATGCGCGGGTCACCTAGAAGGGAAAGCGCGCTCCCGGCTGAGTTGTGGATGTTATCGTGCACAGTGCCGGGGACAGTAGTGTATTCCCGTGTAGTGTACACATTGTACAATGTAATGAAGACGTTGTCACCTCTCAGTGTTATAGACGTTGTGAGATGATTTGCGGCCATTATTTACTGTATTAACCCCCCCCAAAATAAAAGTGTTCCTAAACCCTGGACCCTGCATTCCCTATGTCCGGTCTCCCCGGACCCCGCATTCACTGTATCCGATCTCCCTGGACCCGCATTCACTATGTCTGGTCTCCCCGGACCCCGCATTCACTGTATCCGATCTCCCCGGAACCCCGCATTCACTGTATCCGATCTCCCCGGACCCCGCATTCACTGTATCCGATCTCCCCGGACCCCGCATTCGCTGTATCCGATCTCCCCGGACCCCCGCATTCGCTGTATCCGATCTCCCCGGACCCCGCATTCGCTGTATCCGGTCTCCCCGGACCCCGCATTCGCTGTATCCGGTCTCCCAGGACCCCGCATTCGCTGTATCCGGTCTCTCCCAGACCCCGCATTCGCTGTATCCGGTCTCCCCGGACCCCGCATTCGCTGTATCCGTTCTCCCCGGACCCCGCATTCGCTGTATCCGGTCTCCCAGGACCCCGCATTCGCTGTATCCGGTCTCCCAGGACCCCGCATTCCCTATATCTGGTTTTCCCGGACCCCGCATTCACTATATCTGCTCTCCCCGGACCCTGCATTCACTATATCTGCTCTCCCCCCGGACCCTGCATTCACTATATCTGGTCTCCCAGGTCCCTGCATTCACTATATCTGGTCTCCCAGGACCCTGCATTCACTATATCTAGTCTCCCCGGACCCTGCATTCACTATATCTGGTCTCCCAGGACCTTGCATTCACTATATCCGGTCTCCCCAGACCCCGCATTCACTATATCTGGTCTCCCCAGGACCCCGCATTCACTATATCTGGTTTCCCCGGACCCCGTATTCACTATATCTGGTCCCCAGGTCCCTGCATTCCCTATATCTGGTCTCCCAGGTCCCTGTATTCACTATATCTGGTCTCCCAGGACCCCGCATTCACTATATCTGGTCTCCCAGGACCCCGCATTCACTATATCTGGTCTCCCCGGACCCCGCATTCACTATACTATCTGGTTTTCCCCCGGACCCCGCATTCACTATATCTGCTCTCCCCGGACCCTGCATTCACTATATCTGGTCTCCCAGGACCCTGCATTCACTATATCTGGTCTCCCAGGTCCCTGCATTCACTATATCTGGTCTCCCCGGACCCTGCATTCGCTATATCTGGACTCCCAGGACCCTGCATTCACTATATCTGGTCTCCCTGGACCCTGCATTCACTATATCCGGTTTCCCCGGACCCTGCATTCACTATATCCGGTCTCCCTGGACCCTGCATTCACTATATCCTCGTTTTCCCCGGACCCTGTATTCACTATATCTGGTCTCCCATGACCCTGCATTCACTATATCTGGTCTCCCTGGACCCTGCATTCACTATATCTGGTCTCCCAGGACCCTGCATTCACTATATCTGGTCTCCCCGGACCCTGCATTCACTATATCTGGTCTCCCACAGTACACACAACATGCGAATGCAATTATTTTAGTAAATATAAACTGCTAAATACCTTTTCTCATCAGCAGTTAGTGCAATCTTGTGACTTCTATTAGTGTCCAGCAGAGCACTGGTTACAGCTTATAGGAGGAGTTTTTTCTTCTGGTCTAGGAGGATGCAGAACCCATTACCTCTGTCTGGGCAGTACTGATTGGCCCTGTTCTGATCACATGCACTCTCCCAACACAAAAAAAGCTCTAGCAATGCACACCTAACTGAGCATGTGTAGGGTGTCTTCACACGATATGTCTTATCAGGAGTTAAGAGGGGAACACTAGAAGAAGGGGAGGATCAGAGAAGTCAGGATCAAGCAGCCTTTTTACACAATGCAGAGGGACTAACCCCTTAGGTTTCCACAGTGAGTATAACAAGCATGCTTTACTGCATATACAGACTGATTTTACTGTTGTGGGTTTTAGTAACACTTTACAGTAAAAACTTTCCAATGCCTGTCCCCCCCCTCACCCCCCCCAGCCCTAAATACCCACCTGTCTCCTCTGATCAATCTAGCGCTGTGCAGCTCTTCTCCCTTGTATGCAGGTTGCAGTCCAGCTAGCCAGGTGTTGCCCCGGACAGGAGGGTAGGGTTACCCTGAGCTCCCAGTTTTTCTGCTTGGCAGGCTTTTTTGGATCTGACCCGCTGATCCTCTAGAATCTAGATAGAAATGGACAGTGGTCTGGAGCTCTGGTCACTCTTGGCTCAAGGCTCTTGCCATGAATCTTTGGCCTGAAAGAGAATGGCGTTACACCTTTCTGTCATCTTGGAACCCGTCATAATGTAGGATGCCACCGAAGCCTGGGGTTCACCCCAAAGGCACCAACTGCTGGACTCTGCTGATACCAGTGGACTTACCACTGATGGACTTTACCTTTTGCAGGTATGCCAGGGCAGCACACAAGCCTGAGTTATGGCTAAGGGATGTAAGGAAAATGTCTGATCTTGCTTGTTGGACTCTGCAATGTTTATGAGACTTTTCTAAGTAAAGTGTTGAACCTTTCTGCCTGGTCTGAAGTCCTTAAAGTAGTACAATGCAAGTAGCCGACACATTTTACACATTTAGTGCACAGCGTTGGGTCACTTAGGCCCATTGGGGTATGAAGACAGCACCTAAAGTGGTTGGAAAGGCTCAATGTTTTCTACCTTCATGCATTCTATGCATAAAAGTAAAAAACCTTCTGTGTGCGTCAGCCCCACACCCCCCCAATACTTATCTGAGCCCAAGGTGAACATGCCAATTATCCCACCCTCAAGATTTATGAGCATTATGTCTCAGCAAAAATCCCCCCCCCAAAAAAAAAATCAAGCACTAATCCCCCCCCCCCCCCTCAGATTCTCTCTCTCCCCATATGCCTCAGAATAAATCCCCTCCCCCCAAAAAAAAAAATAAGGCCTCCTTGCACAAATCCTATACCCCTCAAATTTCCCTTCCGAGCACAAACCCCCCCTTCCCACTCCAAATCCCCCCTCCCAGCACAAATTCCCTTTTCTCAATCCCCCATTCTAGTACGAATCACTCCTCTTAGTACAAATCTCCCCAACACAAATTCCCTCCCCCAGTCTCCTTGTGCTGCCCTCCACCTCACATAACACCTCAGTGCACCACCTCAGTGCCCAGGGCAGCCGCCCCTCTTACCCACCCCTTGTCGTGGACCTGCTTGAGCCCCATCACAATCTAGCATAGTGTATGAGAGCCTCGGCTCTCTAGGGACTCTCCCTCCTTACTGGCTCCCGCTGCTGTCAATCACAGCAAGTTAGCCAATGAGGGGAGAGGGGGGGGGGCCTATTGTGTGAATGGACATTCAGAGCAGCGGCTCGGAGCGAGCCTGCTTGGGTGACCCTATAGCAATCTGCTTGCACTGGGGGAACTCAACATGAGGGGAGGGGCCAGGAGTGCTGGTGGGGGACCCGCGAAGAGGAGGATTGTGGCTGCTTTGTGCAAAACCACTGCTCAGGCCAGTAAGTATAACATGTTTGTTATTTTTTTAGTTGTCTTTAATATCACTTTCAAAAGTCATCCTGGTGTAGACTTGGCGCCCAACAAGTTAATGGGAAGCATGCAGGATTGTTACACCTGCCCCACCTCCACTGCCCCTGCCCTAGGCCCTGCAATTTCTCTTCTCATAGGAGATTCTGAGAGCAGCGGGAGCCTTTGGCTGAAAATCCTGTGAGGAGGTATCGAGGGGTGGCGCTGAGCTGTCTTTGTGTGTCTATGGATGCACACAGCCCAGGTTGTGACAGGTGGGCTTATGCACTGACCTGCATGGAACTCCATGTGCATCCTGGATTGTACATCTGTGTGTGGGTCCAATGCACAGATCAGAACACAGTCTATCAGTTTGTAGTGTCCAAAAACAATAGTGTACATTTTGTGGCTTTTTAGCCAACTAAAGCTGGCCAAAGATGGATCAAATCTCAGCTGGTTCAGCAGTGACCAGTAGTGGCTTCCCTAGGTGGGTGTGGGGGTGCATGCCGCAACGGGTGACACCTATATCACGGGGTGACACCAAAAAGTTTTAAAGCAAGCCGACGATCCGACCAAGATGGATCACATCTGCGGTAACATGTGGTGTCACCCCTCCAGAGGTGGGCAGTCCCTGTCATGCACACACAGCCTGGCTCTTCTCCTCCCTGTGTCCCAGTCACACCCCCTGGACCGATGTTGCAAGATCAGTTAACCCTGTATACAGTGATGGAAATAAGTATTTGATCCCCCCGCTAATTTTGAATGTTTGCCCACTCACAAAGAAATGATCAGTCTAAAAATCGAATGTATTGTGACACTGAGAGACAGAATAGCAACAAAAGATTCAAAAGAAATGCATGTTTAACAAATTGTACACTGATTTGCATGTTCATGAGGGAAATAAGTATTTGATCCCCTATCATTAAGCAGGATTTCTGGCTACCAGGTGTCTTTCATACATGTAACAAGCTGAGCATAGAAGCAGTCTCTTAAAGGGAGTGCTGCTAATCTCATTTTGTTACCTGTATAAAAGACACCTGTCCACAGGAGCAATCAAACAGATTCCAAACTCTCCACCATGGCAAAGACCAAAGAGCTGTCCAAGGATGTCAGGGACAAGATTGTAGACCTACACAAGGCTGGACTGGACTACCAAACTATCGCCAAGCAGCTTGGTGAGAAGGTGACAACAGTTGGTGAAATCATTCGCAAATGGAAGAAACACAAAACAACTGTCAGTCTCCCTAGGTCTGGTGCACCATGCGAGATCTCACCGCATGGAGTGTCAATGATCATGAGAACAGTGAGGAATCATCCCAGAACTACACGTGAGGATCTTGTCAATGATCTCCAGGCAGCTGGGACCACAGTCACCAAGAAAACAATTGATAACACACTACGCCGACAAGGTATGAAATCCTGCAGTGCCCGCAAGGTCTCTCTGCTCAGGAAAGCACATGTCCAGGCCCATCCGAAGTTTGCCACTGAACATCTGAATGATGCAGAGGAGGACTGGTTGAAAGTGTTGTGGTCAGATGAGACCAAAATCATGTTCTTTGGCATCAACTCAACTCACCTCATCTTTTACTCCTTTACACAGGGATTGATTTACTAAAACTGGAGAGTGCAAAATCTGGTGCAGCTGTGCATGGTAGCCAATCAGCTTCTAACTTTAGCTTGTTCACTTACACTTTGACAATAAAACCTGGTTTCTATGCAGAGTTGCACCAGATTTTGCACACTCCGCTGGGCGTTTGTGGAGCGGCACTATAGACTTGAATAGGAGGCTTCAACTCCTGACTCGACCAGAGGCTTCCTTTTTGCAGCAACACGATGCAACGCGACGCTAACGCTCCCGTTTGAACAGCACCATGTGCTGCAATGTGCAGAATTTTCCCAGGCATTTGGGAAACAGTAAAAAACGTTTCCCAAACGCTTGTCTGCCGCTTGCTAACAAGGCTAGTGTGAACATAACCTAAGGCCCCTTTCAGATGGGGCGGACCCATCGGCGGATCTGCCTGCTCAGCGGGGAATTTCTTAGCTGATCCCTGCTGAGCAGGTAAATGACAGGTCTGTGTCCACTCCGCTGCTGCAGAGCAGACACAGGCACTGCCTGCTGTCTTCTATGGGCGGTCGGATGGAAATGGATCACCTGTCCATTTCCATCCAACTCGCATCTGATCCAATCCACCAGACAGATGGGTAACGGATCCCCATCCGTCTGTTTTTGGCGTACAAAAGTGGATCAGATGCCGGCTGGTGTCAGCGGACACTTCTGCACTGACACCCGGCGGTCCATTGAGGTCTATGGATGGTCCGATTGGGTTCGCCTGTAAAACTGACAAGAGGACCCGATCGGACTGTCAGT